GGCATTCCGATCACCTGGTGCCCGGGAATTACGTGACTCTCGTGGAAAAAGTGCGATCGTATCTGTGCCATAGTTTATAATTACCAGAATGATTCCAAAGTCGATGCAACTGATCCATCATTTTTCGCTATCGTGATATAATAGCGCGAACACGTATTACGACAGTGTTCCCGAACCTGATCCATCGTCGGGGGACAAATAAGAAATAGCAGAAAATTATTTCGAGTATGTCGAAACACGTAGACGTAACGAATTTGTTTCCGTTCTCGGAAAAGAATCTCGAAAATATATGCAGGTACTCGAACACTTAACTGCTAAGTACGTAATGGCTCGTCGATGCAAGTACATCCTCTATTCGTGCTTATACTCGTAAACACGGTTAACGTTGTATCGTCGTCTCATCGTTCCGCTGCCTTATCGACACGAGCCATCGGCATGTATCAATTTATCGATTTTCGCTCGTCGACATCGCGATTAGGGGAGCTCGTACTTCCTGCATTCTCGAAATCAATTTCAGCCTGTCCCTCGAGCGATTTTTCGACGGATAAAATATTGCAATTTAATTACGTGTCTAACGAGATCCGATTTATGATGAACATATTAATTAACAACGACGCCATGTTGGATTTTTGACAAGCAGGAAATCCCTACATCAATTATAAGCCCTATCGCTATCTACGACGCGATAAGAATTAAGAAACGTGGAGCCAAAGAGATTAAATGATCGATATTAACGATCCAAGGTCTCTCCGTCGATCTTTAGACGTCGCGTACATTTTCGCTGGAAACGGGGCTGCCTTTCGCGGAGGGCTGGTAACAATTAACACCGATTTACGGAACGCCACATGGCGTGTGTTAACGATCGCGATTTCAGGAGCTACCGAGCGATATACGGGGAGAGGAAAGGTAGCGGCGATTCCGATCGAAGTATATTATTTTTATCTCGTAGCCTGTTTACAAACGCCGGTAATTACGGCTCCTTTGTATACTATTACTCGCGCTATAGACGACCGGTTCGCGATCTATAATGGGGGGTTGACCCGGATCGATCTGCGAAACGCTGTAATCTTCGGAGGCCTCAATCGGGGACAGCGTTTTCGAAACCCCTAAACTACGAACGAAATGTTTGACGGTGGCTAGTCGAGCCGCCCGAGGTGAAAGCGAGGACTTTGACGCGTGAAATGGAATCGCGGTGGTTTAATTGCTTCCTCGGCAAATGGTGGTCGTGGATGGCAATTAGGCGAACCTTGGGTCGCTCCGAGTGGAAAATTCGAATGGATTTCTTGCTTCTGGAACGAACGGGATAATCACTGAACCGGGGGATACATGGACCATGTAGTAATGATCGTTGTACTAATTTCGGGATAAAAGTTTAGGTTCGGATGAACTGTTTCGATGATTGTTATCGTTTGGACAACAGTTGGCAGTTCAGTAGGATAGGTTGTATATGTAGGTTAAACGTACGCACGTGACTAGCTCTTAAGTTAGTTGAAACATAAAGATGCTGCACAAAGATGCTCTCTGACACGAGGGAAGAAGCGCGGTATTGATCTGAAATTTTCCCGCAAGTGCGCTCACTCATGGAGGTTTAGGTTTCGCGATTTGGCCCGGCAAACGGAATCACACGGTACGATACGTAAGTACGATCGCACGTTGCGGTGCACCTTATGCAATTGCACACTTTCGGTGACTCGGTGGAGATAGGATTTGATAGATTCGTAGAGGGAAAAAAGAAAAGAAAAAGAAATGGGAATTAATGGAATGAATTGCGAAACTGGCCTGGTCCGTGTATAGCTTCTCCAAAATGGACCGACGCGATTTCAAATCGATCTCTAAACCTGTTTCTCGCGTTTCCCTGCGACGGATCTTGTTGACTGCTCCCGACGGGTCTGGCAATTTTGAGGAAATAAATCAAAGGAAAATAAAAGGTTTATCGCTGCGGTGAGTTGAAAAAAATGGAGACTTACCTGTGCTGTGATTGGATGATTTGTGTGTTGTGTGTGCATGGTTGCCCTACTTGGCGGTGCGTGCAGCCAACAGCACATTGCGGCACATATGAGAAGAGCGCCTGCGATTATGCAAGCAACACCGACATATCGTACCGGTTCGACGTAGTTCTCCGCGAGGCCTAACCAGTTTATCAGTGCACCAACGCAAAGGAGAACCATCCCGTATCTGTACGGACGCTGCGAACGCCGCGACTCCTCCAAGGACATTGCTGAAATCGCAAGCAGAGATCAGTTTTGCAATTCTTCGGCAACGTTTCGCGCGGATTTCGTTACTATCGCAGTTGCCACGATCGGCCGCCGATCGAGGAAAAATTCTTGCCGCAAAGATCTCGACTTTCTTGCACACTCGGTTGTCTCTCTGTCAGACGATATTAATTGCTCTACGTCTCGACGCGGAAGAGGAGGGAGCGTTTTATTTCAGCGGCTGACGGATCGATTGCTCGTGAATTCTTTAAATTCGCATTTGTTAAATATAAATTCGTAAAATTAGAACATCCGAACCGTAAATTTTTCAAATTTACCCCCGAATTTTGGCAATTTAAACGCGAACATCGAGAATGAAACATTGAAATATCGCAGGATCAAAAATCTGGCACCGGTCTGCGTGCATTTTCAGAAGACGCTCGCGTCTATGGGGAAAGCCGTTTGTCGTAGACTTAAATTGCGAGTGATAAATTACTAGACAATGACACGAGGAACGATAGTGTTTACCTCGAGGAAACGAATGTTTGAAATTTCAAAGGAAATCGATGGCGCAGACACAATTTCTTTCGGATGTGTTTCCTCGGATATTATAAATAGTCTCGAGGCTAAGTTTGTCGCGAAATGAAAAAGGCGTAGCTATTGTTAGATGACAGGAGGAACAGTAGTATTTCCACGTGTGGTAGCCTTTCTTCGATCGTATCTATCGAGCACAGTGCCTTTTGATAAAAGGGCCGGCCGTAGGATATATCGAAAGTCTATTTTTAGTTAATATCCCACTTCCGTGACTTGATTAAATTGACGTATGTACGTGTACGGAGAGCGTCGGCTATTTGCGGCATTGGTCAATTTTAGAAAATGGATCTATATATAGCTGCCATGAGGATATTGCCACGTACTTTATTTCTAGCTGTGCGATATTGATTTGTGCGATACCCGATGACATATCGGACAGAACTCTGTCCTGAACTTTGCTTTGGATCACGCACAATGATACCTCGAGCAAACACGGGATTTCCTAAAAGAACACATAGCCATTTATATTTTATCATTATCCCAATTTTATTACGCGCCGTATACGTGGCAAATGAATTCCAAGATAACGCTGAAAAATATTTCATTATGGCGAATATTTTGCAAACCATGGTAACCTTATATTCCCGCGAAACTGGAAAATACCAGTCGGACTAAATTAACAAGATGTGACTAACAAAAGTAAGTAAAGGTAACGCGAATATTTATAGAACACTGTCGTACCTATTAACGAAAACACACCGAGATGCCAAAAATGTTATGTACATATCGCCATGAAACGCGTTATCTCTGCAATGCAATGATACTCAACGTAATAGAAAAGGACGCAGAATTGGAAATGAGTGAGATTGCGAATTTAATTGAAAACATGCAGAATCTTATCGCATTTTTAAAGGTCACTAATATGTTCATAAGGATGGAAAACAATCGCGTGCAAGCCACTAACGATCTCTGCTGACCTTAAACGAAGGAATTAAAAATAAAAAGCCGCTTATAAAAATTTGTTAGAAGACAAACCACGAGAAAATTTCCAGGAAAATAAAGGAAAAACACTATTTGACTGTACGACACGAAAATTCAAAATTCCGCGAATTTGAATTAAATTTCAGACATCGCTCGGTGCACGAAGATTCTATTAGCGTACAATCGGAAGCATACAAAGGGAACAGCAAACAATCTTCGACGTTTCGAATGTACACGGGTATCGTGACATATGGGAGTACATAAACGCCCGACTGTCAAAATGGAACTCGATGAATATAAATGACTTTAGGACCATTAACGATCCCGTATCTTGGACAGGTGAAACGAACGAAACTCATTCGCGCAAATGGGTCAGTCGAACAAAGCGATGTCCATTTCAGTGGCATTGCGGATGACGTACAATAAAAATTGAGAATTACACGGACGATAAATAACGGCTCTAGAGAAAAAGCTGACAGTTCGAATGAAAATTTATTTCAGCCACGAAAGCGTTTATGGCTCACTATCGCGTAAAATAAGTCAACGACATTATTCCCGATAAAGCTGACATCGCTTAATCGAGATGCACTCCGAATTTTCAACGCCTTCCGCTCCGTATCGTCCCACTTCCTTTCGAATTAATTACAGGTGGCCCTCGCACAGCGCGGTGCAACAGGGACCCCCTTTTGCACCGTACCCTTTTCGCACGATTCACTTTTACACGGCTTTTTTCAACACGTTTCATTCACTTTTCTACCCTTCTTCCAATCGTCTCGTCCAATCAGGCGATACTTTTTGTTAAACGTTTCATTCATCTTTGCGCGACTTTCCGTGGACGTTTTATTCGTTTTTATCGTGAAACCCAAGAAACCGGAAAGTGTTAAATAATGTTGTTACGTTACGCAGTTCTCTATCTCAAATTGCTCCTTCTGTTTGTTTTAATTTAACGCGCGCTCCGCAATTTCTTGCGAAACAATTTTATTACGACTTTTTACACGGTTCTTTTGGCACCGAGATACGCATGCACCGTGTAAAAAGTGTAAAAATCCACAAATTCTACCTCGTTCTTGCATAATATCGGGTGTTCGCGCGCACTTACATGGATATGAACCGACAAGATCACGCGCATTTATTAATTCCATAAATTCTATTAATTCTAGTGGAAATAAATGAATACAACTCGGATAAATATTATCGGATAATTATCTCGTCTTTATTATTTTCGGATTACTATCGGTAACTGCTATCTGTTTGCACCTGAACCTATCGCAATGCAATTTTCATTGCCCGACGATCTTCTGGAACCTGACGCACGCGTCTCTCTCGAAAATAATATTAAATTCGAAGTTCGTTGAAATGAAATTAAAAAAATTCGAGGCACAGGCACGTCTCGATTTTCGCGGTTCGCCAAAACGAATGTGCACGAGGATCGATCACGACGAGGATCCGTGCGAACGTCGGGGTTTGTTGAAGTTCAGTGACGCCGATCGCGATGGACGCGTGAAAAGTACGCAAACACGGTGAAATATAAATCGATCGACGATGGGTTTGTTTTGAGTGCTAAAGAAATATTCCCGCGTCGAGTGAAAGTCTATAAATATTCGTGGAGAGAGAAAAGTAGGCTAAGCAGAAATGAGTGTACCGCGAAGGTAGGCCAGCCTGGCTATCAGCAATCGCACGATCGATACCTGTCAGCCATATGCTATTTTAGATAGAAAAACCGATCGAATGCTAGCGTCTGTCGTTCCTTGTCTCCGCGAAACGCGGGCGATGTCGCGCGAAACGCGGAATTCGCACGCGTAATCGCGTGTAACCGCGGCAAAAATAACCCGCGAGTTGTAACACGATGTATCGATACCGGGAACTCGAATGGGAACACGAGTGTCGCGAATTAAAAGGAAATTCGTATTGTTTCGGGAAGCGTAATGACGAAACCGGCGAAAGTTCCCTGGGACACGAGTACAGATTGTGTACGAAGATATAAATATCTAGATGATCTAGGATACACTGTTTCTTCAAATTCTATAAAAAGGCTTCGATCGTTACGTTTCGTTACGTAAAATCGCGAAGAAGGGGTATTCCCCAAACGTGAGATTTGAAAACAGAGAACCGGCACTTTTCTTGCTACACGATTGATAATCAGCTTCCGATGACTATACTTGTAACTATCCTCGATGATCGATGACGAATTTAAATTGCTTCTCGACAGCTTCGAGAAGTCGAGTAAACGGGGATGAAAATGAGAAAATGGGGAAATATGGTGAAACTTTTCGAATCAAAAATTTTCTCGAGATGATCGAACGTTTCGAAAGATTGCGAGATATACGAAAAGTCACGGATATGATTTGTTTTGCAATTCGATAATAGCGATTGATTTCGATTTCGAGTACCCTCGCGCGTTCGATATGGAACCGTGAGACGCTTCGATGCCTATCAAAGATGAACAGATTGTAGCGTGAAATGTTAACAAAGAATTATTGTATCGAGCCGATGGCTGTTCCGAAGAGTTTACCATTGATCTCGTCCATATCCTGATATGGCACTCGGACACACGATAAATTCGTACTTTGCTATGCGTCACACTTGCCGTACGACTAAAATACAGAGCTATGCCCATCTGCGGCACACAGAGTTACGTCTTTATACCTGAGGATTACGACTGATAACGGGACAGAAATCATAAAGATAAGGGATGATATTTTTGAAACTTATCGCTCACTCGTCATAAATAAGTTTACCTAAATACATGCGCAACGTATAAAGTCGATCCCTTCCCTCGTCTCTTCAATATCGCGACACTTTTTCATCGTTTTGCACGTGATTACACCCAGACGATAGCGTGATGATCATTGGACACGTGAAATTACCTTTCATTTGCATACGGGCGTGAAATAGTGGCCAAGGATGGAAGTTGGACCGCGGAAATTTGCGTTGCAAAAGAAGAGATAATTGCGAATAGAAATTTGATGTTACACTGGAAAATTGCGAAAAGTTCCGATTTACGGTATCAGATACCTTTCTCCTTCGTCTTCCTTCGTGAAAGAATTACGGGAAGTCTCATTTTATTATTAACATGATCTAAATATGAATCATCCTTTTCCATCATCGTACGAAGAAGAAGAGATATCAAAATTCTGTGGTATTCTCGAATGTACCACTTTATTAATAATGATCTAAATAATAGTCGGAAATGGTAAGAGAGATTTGAAAATTCCACGATAAATTTGGAATTTATCGCTATTTAAGAGTACGTTTAGCGAGCGAGTATCTCTCTCGGTCTAAACTAAGCAGGCCTCGAGACAGCCTAAATTTATGATAGCCACTTAACGACGGAAGTTTGGGAAAATCGCAGATGTGCTTCGCGAATATGTCTACTTCTCGATCAACCGTTAAGTGCGAGGAAGTCACTTTGACCGCAAAGAGAGGCGAGTATTTCATCGGAAAAGGATAAAAAGGGACTGCGGAAGTCAGTCAGAGTTTCTTCATAGTTCTTTCCTTCGTTATTCAGCAG